TTGCTTTTTCTTTAAGCTAACGTCAGAGAGGCTATTTATCTGACAGCTTCGAATGAGAGAAAAAGAAATGGAGATGGTGTTACTTTTTACCTTTGCTGCTTGTGCAATTTTACTTGGCTTTTCTATGTCTTAGAAGACTTTGTTATAAACAGGGCTTTTTCGGGGAGGGTTGCGTTTTCGTCCTACATCATCTGCTTGCTGGAAAGGGAAGGGGAAGGAAAGAAGGAACAGGGAAGAAGAACAGGACCATAAGGACCTGCCCCAGCTGTACCTCTCAGGAAAGCATGACTCTTGACTCCAGGTCATGGGTAGGCAACCTTGGCTCTTTTATGACTTGTGGACTTCAACTCCCAGAATTCCTGAGCCAGCCATGCTGAGGGAGAGGTTTCGAAGCTGAGCCATGCTGGCTCAGGAATTCTGGGAGTTGAAGTCCACGAGTCATAAAAGAGCCAAGATTGCCTACCCCTGCTCCAGGTGGTTAATCAAAAGAACTTTTACTGAAAGAAAGTGTTTGCAATAAAAACAGGCGGGATCTAATAGTTCCACACAAACCTAACCCTCCTGACCAGTCCACCAGCAGCCAATAGAGTGCCACAATTTTGAGAGCACTGAGGTACAAGTTTGATAACAGGTCATTCTCAGGGCACAGTGCCTTGGAGTCAGGCTGGAACCAGCTGAGAGGGAGTCCATCTTGTCTCCGCAAATGATCCCTCTCCCTAATTCCCATTCAGTTACAGCAAAAGTGAAAGCATGCAAAGAATGCTCCCCCCAGAGCCTCCTCCCCCTTCCAACAGAATGGCAGGGCACCCAAAAGGGGACCAGACACACTTGTCACCCCAAAAGAAAGGGATTAAACCTGCAGACCAAAACATAACAAAAGGGGAGAAAAAACAATATTAAAGCATTCATTTAAGTTTGTCAGGATATTGATTATGAAAACATTTCACTAATCTAGGGGCTCTAACATGCCTATGATGAACCAATCATTCTGGGCAGTAGGGAAATCTTTCCATGCCATTAAATATTGAAGATTTCCCCTGTGCGTGCTAGGGTCCAAACTTTCTCTGACTTCAAAATGCTGTTCCCCCCTATCATGAATGGCTCAGGGACAAGGGTAGGTAAAGAGTGAGATAATTTCAGGTTTTAATAAACTGCAATGAAAAATCGGGTGGACCTGGCAAAGAGATATAGGCAAGTCTAATTCTATGGTAACTGGGTTAATAATACGTTTGATGGGGAAAGGCCCCACAAACCTAGGGCCCAATTTCTTTGAGGGTTGAAGCGACTGTAAATAATGTGTAGAAAGGTAAATTTAGTCTCCCACATTGAAAGGCTTAGGCTCAATCCTTTTCATGTCAGCTTGGGCTTTATATGCATCTTGAGCTTCTGCAAGGGCTTTTTGTACAATAGGCCAAGTACTGTGTTTACCCGAAAGTTAAGACCTAACCTGAAAATAAGCCCTAGCTTGATTTTTGGGGGTGGGCCTACTATAAGCCCTACCCCAAAAATAAGCCCTAGTTTTGGGATGAGATGCACGCCTAAAAATCAAGCTAGGACAGGGGTGGGAGGTGGAGCTGCCCCATGTGCCCTACACCCGCTTACTGTTGCAGCCAGACCCCCCTTGAATTGACACTGGCCCATTTCTTCTGCAGCACCCCCGTCCTGCATTTTGCTGTCAGAGGCCTTCCAGAAAGGCCTCTGCAGCTGAGAACCGAGCTACGAATTCAATCTGTAGTTTGGTTCTTGGCTGCAGAGGCCTTTCCGGAAGGCCTCTGACAGCGAAATGCAGGATGGGGGGCATCAGGAATTCTGGGAGTTGAAGTCCACGAGTCATAAAAGAACCAAGGTTGCCTACCCCTGATCTAAGGTATTGTTCCAACACTGAGTTTTCTAGTTCACACCTCCCATTCATTTGGTGATGACTGGAACTGAGTCCCTGTTCAGTAGCAAGTAGATCCAAAAAGGCCTCCAAAACTTAGAGGTAAACTGCACCTCTCTATCTCAAAGGTCACCAACCTTTTCATGCTGGCAGCCCCGAGGGAAATGTAGCAGCTGTTTGCGCATGCATGCAAACACTAGCCACCTGTCTAGCGCCGCGTGCATGCACGAACAGGCCACACAACCCACATGGAGCTAGCATGAACTCCCCATGAACTCTACCAACTTGTGCCATCCTCCTGCATTCCTACGCTAACCCACATACCTCTTGAGCACCTCCACACATCCTCCCTAACCAGCACTGCCTTTCTCCCACCTGCATTTCTGACCCATTCTACACTTCTTGGGCACCCACACACACTCTTTCTAACCCAAGCCACCCCCTATGCATTAATTTTTATAGCCATCCATCTCACAAGTGACTATGGGCAACATACAAAGATTAGACAACAACGAAAGAAATAATCCATGCACCTGGAGAATAATATCTTTCTCATAAAAAGCATACGAACAAGGTGAACCTAACCTACTGGCCTGAACCCCTGGGGAGACTTACAAAAGGCAAATACCTGATTTATTTGTTGGCTAACATGGAGCAATATTAATGGGTGGACTTACAGAGATGAAAACCTTGTTGGCTTGCAATGGACAAAATAAGTTTTCCCAGGGAGGAGCAATGGAGGCAAGTGTGGCCTCCTTGCTTTTATGCCGCTGTTTGCCCTTTGCTCACTTAAATCTGCCACTATCCTTAAAGGACCCCCACTGTGTATTATGTCAGGGGGGAAAAGCATTCCAAGCAACACAGCACTTAACTGGTGAACGGGATTAGAACACAAGGGGTCCTAAACAGTTCTCCCTCTCTCTGCTCTCATGCTTAACAAAAAGTTTAAAGTAGTTTGTGCTACAGAAGGGAAAAAAATAGAGATTCCAAAATGATAGCGACACTTAAATGAGAGAACATTATATTGATATTGATATGCAAAAGAGAACCTGATACTGAGTGACGGGGACTGATTTGGGTCAGATGCATCCACTGTGGATCTCTTGGATAAATCCCATATCCCATGTACCAAGGGAAAGATTGCATTTATAGGCTAAATCAGTGTTTTCAAACTTGGCAAATTTTTAAGACATATGAGTGGGCACTTTGGCTGGGGGAATTAAGTCCACACCTCTTAAAGTTGCCGAGGTTGAGAACACTATTTTAGGTGATGATGCAAGTAAATATCATGGGGCTGTTGGCTTCCAGTAGTGTATTTGATAAGTATCAGGTTTGCTTCATCATTCCAAATTTTTAAACAACTTTTGAAGCTAAGCAAAAGTGCTGGGTGATAAAAGAACCCCATTGTTATTAACCATTCATTGATCAATTTCACATCATTATTATTTTATAAAATTCTTAAGTTTCCTTTATAACAAATGAAGAAAAATACAATTCAAACAGTATTTTCATATTCCAGTTTAGATATTGTTTGGTGACGCTGACTTTGACACTGAACCAAACCATGTTCAATCCTATCAAGTTTTTAAAAAATCCTAGAAGTGACAATTCCACCCATGTGAAAAACACAGCTGTGAAAAAAATATATCCCATTTTGATAAGTTTACCAGAGATCCAGAATGCTCTAGATAAGCCAAATATTTACCAAAGAAAGAAACATCACTTTATTTTGGAAATCTACACTGATGGCATCTGGAGAGTATAAACGGAAATACTGTATAGCCTTATTTGTAATTATTGATTGTCTGCAGTTATTAATTTGGCTACAGGACAGTACAAATGCTAATGATATCAGAATCACATCAGATACTCAAAATAATAAAAAATAACATGAGGAAGTTCAAAACTACTTGGCAAAAAAAGAATATAAAATATGACTACATTCTATGAGGTAACAATAAGGAATTGAATTTAAATAAAAACATTTCTGAGCATCATTTAGAAAAGCAAGTACATATATTATTGGCTTAAACTTGTGGTCTTAAACATGCTAAATATTTAGCAAATCCAGGAAAGAAAAATTAGGCAAACTTTATGGAACAGAAAAGAACTGTGTTTTGTTGTTGCTTGTGCTGTTATCTATTCTTGGGATCTGGTAGCAATACATTCTTTATAAAAGCAAAAAATACAGAACCACAAAACCAGCTTGCAAAAGGCAGTTAACCACCATAATGTTTATAAGACATTTGTATTAGAGTAAATCTCTAGAAAAGAACAAAATTCAAACTTGGCACTTGGGTGAGCCTACCCTTCTCCAACACAACTCCCAGTATGATAATTTTTTTAAAAAAGCTGCAGGGATAGAGATGGGCATCTTGGAGACAATATTCTAGTGCTACTTATAAAAAAAAACATAAATCTTTCTCTTCTGAATTTTCAGAAATCTGGCCATTAGGTAGCCAGAAAATGAAAGATTGCTTTCTAAGGTCCCACTTTCTTACTATCGTAATATTCTTCAAAATCATGGCCACGCATTAAAACAAAACAAACAATCTCTTAATGTTTTTAGGAATGGAAGATCTGACGGACAATAAGAGTGTTCCAGGCAAAAAAAAATAGGCTTCTATACAAGAATCTGCTTTCATCATCAGGGATTAACGAGATTAAAGATTGAAACAGAACAGAATCTAAGGTAAAACTATTTACCTTAGAGAGGGATTATACTTTATGATAAACCATTCCATTCATAGTCATTTTTCTATGCTGTATATTAATATCAATAATTTTTATTTACAGCCAAAAGTGTACACACATACACACACACACAAAACTGAACAACCCTTTGGGCCACACTACATGATATGTCCATTTTCCTAGGACAGATAGTTTACAACAGAAAACTGTAACGTAATCCAGTGCTTGTTGAGGTGCAAGAGCTTTGTGAAGGTGTAGATCCATATCAACAGGTGTCAAAGTATATAGAAAAGAGAGGGCATACATTCCGATGCTACTTTGGACCACCACAGATCATGCACCCTGTATCTGGCAGAGGGTCTTGTACGAAATATAACTGAATTACGTAAAATCTGATGCTTTATTTGGGCCTGTTCCTCCCACAGTATGCTTTGAACTATCTCAAAAGACTTGATATCTTGCACAAAATTTGCTGCCATCCAGGGTTCATCCATATTTTGCAGCTTAGATATAGTAGCTCTATGCATCTACAGATATTTTGCAGAGAGAAACCAGTGCAAGAAGTCACCAAATCTTTGTTGTCATCTACTGTGTGTGTTGCAACCCAGTTATGACAGCCCTCTTATGTGCATACACGTGTGCGCGTGCACACACACACATACTTATTTAGTGAACAGATTTACTATATAATAAATATACTCAAATGAGACACCTTCTAGGAATCTGGCTTCTTGATAGATGAATTACCACATTCAGCAAAACAAAAAAGAAGATTAAAGTGTAATGGTGGAAAACTGATTAAAGCAGCTCATCAGAAGACTTTGGGACAGTCACTCTCACATAGCCCATAGAATTGTTGTGGGGGGGGGAATGCCTAAGTAAAAGGTAGTTTAACAAGTAAACAGATATGTGAAAAAAGAAATTTCTGGAGATTAAGATTTTGTGCCTTCGGCAGTTTCACTACAGATAACTGAAATGTCCCAAAGCATGCAATTTAGAAAGATTAAGTGAGGTTAGGAAAGGTTAAACTGAGTGACATGTAGCCATCTGTCAAAGGCAGGTCATACAGTGAGCACTGAGGGCTTCCATCTGCATACAAGGCTCCTGAGTATAAGTACTGAAAGGGTACTGAATCAGTCTTTGGTGCAGGAGGAAGAATTAGAATACCAATTGTTTCTTTAAAGCAGTTAAAAGTAAAATAGAGGTGGCAAAGAATCTAGCCATTAAAATTAAAAAAAAGTAGTATAAAGCAACTAGAGATAATAAGTCAGGATCAGCAATACTCACTTAATGAATACCAAAAATACAACAACAAAAAGACAACTAATATTCAGAGATAATTTTCAGGATGTATAGAGAAAAGAGAAGCACCTTTTGTTTTTTAAAGAAGAAATCTACACTATCTTTGTGGCAAGTAGATGCTGCACAAATAAGAACTCAAATCAGCAAATCAGGAAAGAAATGAAATGCATGTCAGTATAATATATATACATGATTAGAGGAAAGCTGGTATCTCACACACTGTGTTTCCTGGCATGGGCAGGCTTATACCAGGCATGCTGTATCAGTTGCTTTTCACTCCATTAGAGAGAGACTGCCTTGCTGTCCAAAACCAGGCTCTCGTCTGATCTAAACCCCAAGACAGTTGAAGCAAGCAGCATCAGATTCATTCCAGAACTGTGAACCTTAAAAAGCAGACCTGCTGAAATATTATTTGTCCATTATAAAACACTTTTCCAGTTAATAAGAATGTCTAAAGTGGCGGTAAATGTTTTGACCTATGTAGAACTGAAAGAGATGAGAAGCTGAAAGATTATTTTTCCCCCTGGGGTATACTGTTGCATTAATATTGTTGCATTTCTAATTTGATCTTTTCCTGGATGAATTGAAATAGTCTTTGATTGTCTTTTCGACATCAGGAATTGCATAGGTCTGAGCAGCAAAAACTCCAGTACAACTCCCCACCAAAAAGCCTATGACTGCAGAAGATCTTAGTTTGGCTACAACAAATCCAGCAAGAAATCCTTTGACAAATGGAGAGGCCAGCCAAGAACCATCCTGTTAAAAAAGAAAAAGAAAAAAAATAACATTTGAGCAAAACTAAAATTCACATGTTTTCTCTAGAATTCAAAGCTAATATAATGTTACTAACTAAACATGTATTGATTCTAGTTTCAGACAAGTACTATTCAAAGCATTAAACAATTTCAGACAAGTACTATTTAAAGCAGACATGTCAAACTCGCGACGTCATGTGACGTCGCGCAATGTATCGGAGCTTTTTCGCCATTGCCGGCAATGGGGGGGGCGTGGTTTCCCAGTGACGCGTCACCCGATTTAAGGCATTACACTGTTCCCTAATGACAGGGCTGTTTAAACTGCATGTAATGGATCTAACTGCTGACTTTTATATGACAGATATAGTTAAAAGATTTCCATATATAAGAATTTAGAAACTTGGATTCATTTTTTATTATTGAAAGATGATTTATTTGCTGTATAATTGGTCTTTAGACATGCCCTTTGGTCACAAATATCCTCAGAACCTGCATTATTACTAGTATTAATATTAGTAGAAAATGGTATACTCCTGTTTCTTCATTTTTCTTACCAGCTAAACTTAGAGAAAGTAATTTAACTTTATATGCATATGGCATTGTGGAGAAATTGCAGAAACCTTTTATGTAGCTGCACTGAGAGAGTTAGAACTTTCTGATCCTAACCTATTTACCTTGAATTGAAAATAACTGGACAATTGATCTTATCTCATGATGTCCTTTTATTTCTTTCTATATCAATTAAATTTTAATAAGCAAATTCTTAATTAGGCTATTTCTGACAGAAACACAGATGAGTTTTCTATTTATATTTGGATCAAACATAATCCACCACATTATT